GTCCAAATCCGAACTATTCTGTAATCTGTAGTTAATAACAAGATCGTCTGATGGAACAACAAACACCAAAAGCCTTTCTTATGTGGTGGACATTGTGGAAATGGAAATCAGATACCCGTCATGGAACCACAGGCACCGATACTCGTCACGTAATTTCCAAACCATTACAACCTGGCTCTCTAGTCACGAGGCCGCAAGGGCGGAGCAAGCCCTTGGTTGCGGAGGTTTTCGGCTGGTATTTTTGGTTTCACGTATTTTAGTTTCACACATCGTGACAGCGAAAACGAGCGAGAAAAAAAAAATAAAATACAACGCATCTTGATGTTTATCTGTCCCTTTTTTTTTTCTCCTGTTTCGTTCTCTTTCTCTCTCTCTCTCTCTCTCTCTCTCTTTCTGTTGCTGCTATCGACATTCCCTCTATACAACTCTCTTGATCACAGATCTCCCCTCTACATTTTGCGAGAGGGAGAGTCAATCATATGCCCCTTCCAAAGGATCATCTTATCCCAAAATACACATCCTCGTCGCAGATATTGAGGAGTACCATTGTTGAGGCCCTCTTGAACTAGCTGTCATTTCCCGCTCCGTGAAAAAAGCCCTTCATTTTATTTAAATAAAAATTCCCTCGAGTGCAGCGTGTTCTTTGACGGCGGCCAGTCGTCAAATGAACGTGCAATTCAACTTCCATCCCAGTTCAGAGGTAAATCCCCCCTTGGCGCCCCTCCGGGTTCCCCTGAGAAATCTCTCAAGCATCCCTTTTTTAACTCGCCTTTGAAGTATCTCCTCTTCGCTCTGAAGAGGTCCCCCGCTAGATAAATGGTGTTTAAGCCATTCACCCATCTCGCACGTCAAGCCTTTACGAAGACCTTTGTCCACGGCTACGCTCAGTCCGTAGTTGCCGCATCCCAATCGTCCTACGCCTCTACCAACACCTCCCTCAACCAGTTTACGAACCTCCCTGCAAAATACACACGCACTGCCCAGCTTCAGAGCGCTTTCCAGAACGCTTCTGGCTCCTCGAGTGCGGGCTCAAAGACCGGTCATGCATCCTCCGGAAATTCTGGCAGCGACTCCGGCCTAGCTGCCTACTATGCGGCTTGGCAGCAAGCTCAACAGAATGGCGATGAGAACGATTGGCACCAATTCCAGTTCAGAAAGCGAATTGGCTGGAAGCCATCTTCCCAGGATGCAAAAGAAAGTGAGAGCAGTACGGAATCGAACAAAAATGTGTCCCCCTTATCCGCATCGCAAACCAAGGTCGACATCTCCAGCCACGATCCCAAGGAGACCCGGGACTTCAGAAAGGTTGAAAGTGTCGCAGTTGACGCTGATGTAAGCGCGCAGGTTGATGAGGCCGTTGCGCGCGAAATTCAACAGATCCATGATGCGGAGGCACTTAGCCAGGTGGAGGAGGAACCAGATGTTTCGACCGCGGAGTCCACGAATGGCGTCGAGTCCATAGAGGCGGCCTCCCCTAAGCCCACTCCAGAGTCATCCCTGGAAGAGCCTTCTCTTGAGCTTGATGAGTCCTCCAAGGATGTCGAAATATTGAAGAAAGTTCAGGCTCAATCTGGGCGTGTGATGCAACTAGCAGATACTAAACAATACTCGCTCGTACCTGGTGCGTTTGAGAGTATTCTTAAGGAGGGCCTCGTTCCTACTGTTGGGGCTTACAATGCCCTGCTTGAGGCTGCCATCCATCTCCATACGGATATCTACCATGCTGTCCCCAAGGCCCTTGATGTGTACTCGGACATGTTACGCCGTTCCGTTCTGCCCAATGAACAGACATACACAATTCTCGTCCAACTGCTGGCATCCCGCGCCCTGAAGACCTTCCAGTCTATCCAGATCTTGGATGAGCAGCGAGCCCGCTATGGCGGCATGGAAGAGGAAGGCAAATTTATGCTCCAGTCAAGTGAGGCCGAGCATGAACTCTTATCTGAGGATCATTCTCTCTCGATTGCCATGAAGCTCTTCAATGCTGCAACTTCGCACCATGCTGATATTTTATTTCCCCTGGAAACCTATTGCACTCTTATCACTGCTTGTGCAAAGAGGGGGGAGGTTGAGCAAATGATCAAAATATTCGCTCACATGGAAACCCATAAGGTCGTCCCGCACGCGACAATCTTCCCATCCATGATCGATGCATTCGCTGCGAATGGCGATTTGAAGAGCGCAGTGGAATGCTACAATGAATATAAAGCCTTGGCTATCGCTGACGATAGCGGTGTATTTGGCATCATTGAGCGCAGGGACGCTGAGGTGTATGCAGCTCTCATCAAAGCCTATCTCTCCTGTGGAAATGAGGCCGGCGCTCTCCGATTTTTCGATAAGATTAGATCCTCGTTCGACGAAGTGAAGGAAGACCGAGAAGCCAGAAAGTCTGCCGTGGAGGATGTTGTTGTCAAGGATGGTTTGATGCAGCACGCAATCAAGACTGGAAGCTTTTCGGAGGCCCTTAAAACTGCTCGGGAATATCTCTCTAAAACTGGACTCGAATCAACATCGGCCAAGATCTGTATGGCAGCTGCAGATTCGGGAGATATCGCCGTTGCATCCGAAGCATACGATCTTCTTCCACTAGAATCCCCTGCTACTATGGGTCCCGCATCGGCAATGCTTGCTCTTCATATCCGTCAGGGACACCTTGCATCCGCGAAACCATTCTGGGCTGTTCTCTCCTCTCCAAGCCACGCTACTCCGGACCTTATCCATCCGACCGCCATGTATACCGTTGCCCTCCTTAAAAGCGGCCAAGTTGAGGAAGGCCTTGTGGAGGCGCGGAAAATGTTCACCCGCATTCGAAGCTCGGTTGACAGCAAACAAACCCAGGCTCACCTGCGTGAAGAGATCGATGAGACTATCGACCTCCTTGGCCGTGTCATGATCGAGTCCTCTGCTGTTCTCTCAGCACATGCTTCCATGACCCTCATCTGGGCCATGATCGAGAATGGTGGATTGGTTTCGCCTGTAGCAGAGCACGTCATCGCTAGCCTTGGTCCGTCGGGTATCTCGCAACTTAGCATCCAGGACCTAACACTTGCTCTCCAAGTACAGGCCGGAATGCTGGTCAACACTTCTGAGCTATTTGACGCTGCCAACCCAGCTCGATTTGCCCACATGCTCGAATTTGCGTTGGCTGCTGGGATCCCAATGCACACACTGAAATCCCGTGTGCTCGAGGAAGCTATTCTTAAGATCGCTGACAGCCGCCCAGATTTGGTTCAGAGATGGCGTGGCTATGTGCAATCACCAGTTGACAATACCAGCTTCGTGCCCGCACGATACACCCCGGTTCCCCAACCTTCCCCAGATTCGAAGCCAACGACTCACGAAGACACTTTTGACCCATACGCCCATGCTACCGACTTTCGTGGGTCTGCTGTCATTGCTGATATTCTGGAGAACGCGAA